AGTGCTTTGGACTTTGGAGGTACTCAGGCCAGTGTGATGGGAAGCTGGGGATGGGAGTAAACCCTCCCCCCTTCTTCCTTTGAAATATCTCCAATGGCAAACAGTGGGGTGGGGGCTGCAGGGTGATGGGGGCAGAGGTGCAGCAGCTTTGCCCCAAAGGAGTAACCAGCACCTGCAGAGCTCGGGGCCTCCCCCTTACCACTGTCTCCTTCATCCCACCAGATACCAGCAGTGGAGGACATAGACAAGGAGCAGCTGGGTGACCCCTATGCCAATGCAGAGTATGCCAAGGAGATCTTTGAATACATGCGGGGAAGAGAGGTGAGTGATGCCTGGCCAGGGGCTGGCAGCCCTGTCTGTGGAAGGGGTGACCGCAAGGACAGGGCCACCTGCTGCACAGAGGTTCCGAGCACCTGGTGGGGGGCCTGCATGGGGCAGGAAGGGGCTTGTTGGAGGGTGGTTGTCTCTGGTGAGTCTGACAGCTAGTACCTTGGCAGGAGAAATTTATGCTCCCTGACTACATGGAGAAGCAGCCAGACATCACTGGGGATATGCGTGCCATCCTGGTGGACTGGATGGTGGAGGTACAGGTATGTGGGCATGGGGAGGGGGCATGGCCTTCTGCAGAGCAGCTCCCATGTTGCCTTTGATGCGTGGGACCTCAGTATGCTGGCAGAGGCTTCTGCAAATATCCCCAGTGCAGATCTGATCGTACTCCTCCCCAGGCTGGGGATGAGGCTGCATTCCTCTCTCCAAGCCTGGCCCCATGGGCACCTCTGGCCCCTGTGAGGGAACCCAGAGGGGCCAGGTGTGGACCTAGCTTCTGCCTGACACCCCTTCTGCCTGCATCCTTACAGGAAAACTTTGAGCTGAACCATGAGACGTTGTACCTGGCTGTGAAGCTGGTGGACCACTACCTGGTGGAGGTGGTGAGCATGAGGGACAAGCTGCAGCTCATCGGCTCCCCCCCCCTCCTCATTGCCTCCAAATTTGAGGTGACTCCTCATGTGCTGTCTTGGGGTGCTGGGGCAGAGGGGGCTGTGCCTTTGTGGTCCCACGGGTTTTTGGAGAAGGCCAGCCAGGTCCCTGTGATGCCAGGCTGCTGCCCTGAGAGCTGCTGGGGTGGCATGTCTATCCTCATGTTACCCTTTCCTATACCAAGGGCTGCGAATGCAGTCCTGGTAGGCTGGATCCTCTCTCCTGGTGTCACTGGAAACCTGGCTCCTCTCTGCTCTACAGAGACCACCAGGACACCTGAGTTCAGCTCACGCAAGCAAGGCTTGGCGTTAGAGGCAAGGGCTGGGGCAGTGTAGACAAGGCACAAGGCCCCAGTGAATGTTTTAACAGTCTTTCCAGAGTCTGGCAGGGCATGAGCCCTTACAGGGCCTGCAGATTGGTAGGATTTCCTGAGTGCTGCCAAGATGAGCCCCTGTTAGGGTGCTGAACAGTTGTGCCCCGGCAGGAGCGGTGCCCACCATGTGTGGATGACTTCCTCTACATCTGTGATGATGCCTACAAGCGGGAAGAGCTCATTGCTATGGAGATAAGCATCCTCAGCACCCTCAAGTTTGACATCAACATCCCCATCCCCTACCGATTTCTGCGACGCTTTGCCAAGGTGGGTACTGTCAGGGTGCCTCCAGGCACCCCTTGTGTTGGCTCTCTGGGATGGTGATGTACATCCCTGGGACCCTGGGCTCCCAGCTGGCAGCAAGGAGGGTTTGGCCAGGCACTCCTCAACAGGGTTCAGGGCTGAGGATGCTGATCTGTGGCAGGCTGGAGGTGTGGGGTCTGTCTCCTTTGCCCCAGGGGCAGCACTCTAGATCTCAAAAAGGTTGGGATGGGGAGCAGTATTACTCAAAAGGCTGAGCCTTTCCCTGCCTGCTTGGCTGTAGTGCGCCCGTGCCACCATGGAGACGCTGACGCTGGCCCGCTTTCTCTGTGAGATGACCCTGCAGGAGTATGACTATGCTCGGGAGAGCCCCTCCAAGCTGGCTGCCAGCTGTCTGCTGCTGGCACTCACCATGAAGAATCTTGGTGGCTGGGTAAGTGTCTGCCCAACCTGCCATCTCCCCTGAAGGCACCCTGGGAGGCACTGTGGGGGTGCAGGAGCGGATGGACTGGTGTGTGGGGTGATGCTCTGGGACTATGCTCAGATCTGGGGGGCTGGAGAGGGAAGATGGTGGCTGTACCATCACTGAGAGGACCCAGCTCAGCCTCACTGTCCCTTTGCAGACCCCCACACTGGAGTACTATAGTGGGTACCGCTCCCAGGACCTGCATCCCCTGGTGAAGAGGCTGAATTTCCTACTCACGTACCAGCCCCACGACAAGCTGAAGGCTGTGCGCACCAAGTACTCACACAGGTGAGCATCGCAGGGCTCTATCTTGTGCCTGCCTGCTCTGCAGAGGGTGGCACCACCAGCACACACCCTTGGGTGCTGCAGAGAGCTGGAGGGCCCTGATGGATGGGTGTCAAGGCTGTGGCTGAGCTCTAAGCCAATGTGGTTCCTTCCAGGGTCTTCTTCGAGGTTGCCAAAGTCACTCCCATAGACATGCTCAAGCTGGAGGAGATACTGAAGAGCTGCTAGCCCTGTCTCTGTAAATAGCCTGTAAATAGCTGGGTGCTCTCTGCAGGGGAGCACATGTACATAAATAATAGCAATTTTAACTGAAAAGGGGAGGGTAAAAAAAGTCATGTGGAGCTGTCAATAAAATATTGTGTTTGTCTTAGGTGCTAGTGGTGGCTGCTGGGACAAGAGTAGGGGATGGTGGTGGAGATTATGCTGAGCTCCTGAGCTGTGGTTCCCCTTGCTGTGTTGGGGCAGAGGGTGAGGGGGAAGGGGGAGCTGTATGGTGGGGAGAGGGAACAGGTTGAGAGCAGGAAGCTGAGGGGCAAAGGCTGGAGGGGGCCAGGGTCCCTATCACCTTCCCCCCAACCTTTGCCTTCCCCTAAGTAATGACACAACACAAGAAGCAGCAATGAGTATCTTTTCTCCAAATATTTACACAGCTTAAATACCCACGTGAGGAACGGGGATCTTTGCTTGGATGCATGTACAGCAGCCCAAGCTTCTGTAGTGACCCTGCTGTGGGCTGAACTGGGGGTCATACCGCATTGCCTATGGGGGCTAGACCTCCACTTTAGTGTTTCTAGCCCCACAGGCTTGGGGAGAAGCAGCAGCTCCAGGGCCACTGGGGGACAAATGGACAAAGCAAGGCAAGCAGTGAGGGCTCCACACACATGGGGCATGAGGAGGACCTGGAGCCCCCCTGCCTGAGCCCTGGTCCCTGGGGGGGCAGCACCTAGCGCATGGGCTGGGCCACTACCCCGCTTGCCAGCCTAGGGTGGGTTGCTGAGCTCCTTAATGGCCTGGAGGATTCTCTTCATGTGGCCCACTTTGGTGATCCCCAGGTCCTGCAGGAAAGAGAATGGGGAGCTGATGTGCTTCTAGGGGGCCAGCCCTTGGCTCTTGCTGGCAGGGAACCCATGGGGCAGAGGACAAGGCTGCAAAGCCCAGCTACTCCTGCCAGAGCATGGTCCTTGCTAAGAGCCCTCAGTCCTCTTGCAAGCGTGTCTCCATGCCTGGGTGCAGGACAGGGTATGGTGCTGTTGATCCTGCTTTGGGCAGGCATACGGAGCCTTGCAAGCTGGGAGCCAGGGCCAACCTCCTCCCCAGCTTCCAGCCCCTGCGTGCAAACTAAGCAAGCGGTGCAAGCTCAGCCCTGTGGGGCTAGGGCCAGGCACAGGGTCAGCACCTGCCTTTCCCTCCTACCATGAGGGATGAGGAGAGGAGGGATGGAGGACACTGTGCTTCCCAGGGTGGGGGGGTCCCTCAGGGGGCACAAAGGGGTTTGTACCTTCAGGTCTCTCCTCTCCAGCAGGATCAACTCAGAGCCCTGGATGTCATGCCGGACAAAAATGTCTCTGTACTCCCCTAAACCGAGTGCTTCCAGCCAAGCTGCCACTTCCTCGGAGCCCCACTTGTCTGCTAGCAGGGAGGAAAACCACAGAGGTGGACTGGGTCCTCCTGGAGGCAGCCGGACGTGGCAGGCAGGCAGCAGGCAGAGGAGGGCAGCGATGGTAGCAGGCTGCAACCAGCATCCCCTTCCCACCCCCCAGCGAGGCCGAGAGGCCACAACAGGCTCAGGCTGGAGAGGTTTCCTCTCCTTAGCTTACTTACAGAGCATCCGGGCTTCTTCCCCTCGACAAGACCCCCAGCCCTGGGGCAGGGACTTACCCGAAGGACTGAGCTGTACCATAGCCCCTTCTCCCTTTGCAGTGGTGGTGGAATTACAGAGCTGGGGAGCTCTGCATGTTTGTTAGCAGAAAAATTAAGCTCTTAAGGGGCTGTTGGTGAAAAAGATGACATTCCCAGGCAGCCAGGACATGACCTGTCCCCCTCCCAGAGCGTCCCTCTGCAGCATGCACAGGACAGGAGCCACTAAACTGGTCAGTGTGGGGGGCTTCCTGCCATGTGGGTTATGCCTATCTCCCTCCCTGGCATGCCACCTGCTTTACCTGGGAGCATGCTGTTGGTCTTCTGCTTTTGCACCTTGTCCTTCCTGGGCTTGGGGATGTTGAGGCGAAGCTTGAAGCTGCCCTTGTTGGTGCTGCTGGCGCTTTCCTGCAAGAAGCCATGGTGAGTGGGGTGCTGCAGTCCCCCCAGGGTCAGCTGATGGGCTATGACACCACTCCAGTCCCTGTGCACCCACTTCCTCAGCAGGGTGGGCGATGGGCCCCAGCCAGTGGATGTCCAGCCGCTGCAGCTCCTGGCCCAGCACACTCAGGGGGCCATGCAGTGCCTCCTCCTCCTGGGGCGAGTCCAGCTGTTGGGGACAGGGACAATCCCCAGCCCTGCTGCCACCCCCAGAGGTGCCAGCTGAGGGCATGGGTCCCTCTGTTGAAGAGCTTGGGGGGCTCTCTGGCCCCCCACTCACCGCCTTCCCTTCCAGGAAT